TCTATATACTCTGTATATATAAAGAAAAATTGACATTTATATTTAAATTTAAAATTTGAATTCTACAATTAAACACTTTCGATTTATGTTTGGTGACACCACTTGCCAGAATCTCTCCTCTCGATGTTTAGTGACCGCAAAATTGAATTCAAAAATCAGAAAGAAACAATGACTGTTTCGAACAATAATAATACAAAAGCATCCGATCTGAAGAAAAAACTTAAACGTGATCAAGAATTATACAACCCTTGCTTTAAGGTATTATGATTTAATAACTGGTTTTTTAAGATTATGTCACCTTTCGTTTTATAAATACAACGTAACCTTAAAAATTGTAAAATAAATATACTTTATCGCTCACATTTTTATTAAGATTTTATATAATTTTTGTTTCAGGAATATAACATAAGTTTAAAGTGTTTAGAAATGAATAAATATAATTACGATGTATGCGAAGCACATTTCGAAAACTACAGAATTTGTAAAAAATTTTGGGTAATTCTAGATATTGAATATACTATACATAATTGTTGCATTGTGAAAAGTAACTTATAAATTTGGTGATATTTTAGGGAAAAGTGATATCTTTACGAATATTTAATAATATAACACCCCACGTACCATTACCTGAAGACAGAGAAAGATTGAAAGCAGAATATATACACTCCCGTAAATTTTCATAGACCATTATTCATTTTTACTATGCATGTACATATTGTGGTTTACATATGAAAAATATGATGAGTTTAAATAAATTCATTGCAATTTTCAAAGTACATGAGACATCATTTTTAAGTAGATAAAAGTTGCTCCCTTGTTTTCAATATCATAGAGGTTGATAGTTAAGAATACATAATGCAGAGTCAAAATTGTCTTTTGTGCTCTTTTTTATTGTACCAGCTTTACATTACAAATAAGTAAATAAATTGTACAGTTTTTTGGGATAAACAAAATACAGTTTATATACAATTTTCTTTTTTTGTTTAATATCTTTGGCAAAAAGAAACGTTTCGGGAATAACGTACGATTACATATATCATAAATGAAACAATACAAACTTACAAACGAATATATAATTACACGTGGAAAGGAAACTTTATATGCCTAATGAGTAAAATTACATAAAGGTGCTGTAATTAGAATAAGGTTACATAGCTCTTTCCGATTATCTGCACAAGTATGTCACAAATATTTCGGTTGTTAAAAAATTTAGCATCTCGGAGTTGCTATGTGTTCGCCTACGCTTGTCTCGAGACTATGTTGTATGTATGTACATATACTAAATTTTACAAAAAACTGTTACCAACTGTGAACATTCTACTTAGGATTTAAAATTAATTATTCACTCTTCTTTTTTTTATTAGAAAATGTAGCACGTTATCTTTTTTTTATTTAGTATTCTAAAATTACGTATATCATTAATGTAAAATAGACTAGTAACAATGAAACTTTAACATTATGGAATCAATGAAAATCTACAAAAATGCATATTTTCAATTGATTAGTTTATTCTACAGTGACATTTGAACTTGAACGTTGTTATTTATGGAACGCTAAAAGAAGATTCTTAATTTGTTATTTTTTTACAACGTGGGAAATTTTTAAAAGCTATTTGATATTTGACATATAGGGTGTTTTCTACTTACAGTTTAGATTATCAATGTTAATTCACAAACCCTTTACAGTGTGTCCAATTTATCATAAACCGTTCAAATATCTCGAAAAATATGAATGATACGAAAAAATTATATATCAAGGGGGACTTACTATACTGCTGTGTATTTATTCTTACGATGACCCTGGAACGTCCTGTGAAGATCATATTCAAATTTTTAAGTGGGAACCTGCATTTTTTATTATATGTTCTTCTGGATAACATTGAGATGTTTCCAGAACACCACAAACTCGTTTCTTGTGCTCCATCCGCTATCGAGATATGAACTTTGAAATTTGACATGCCGCCGACATTAGTGTTGCCCGATGTACACCGCGAGGATAGGCAAAGATGTCTTTCATAATGCTACTATTGATATGGCATTGTCGAAACATAAAGTCGCAGTTTTCTAATGTTTCCAAAAAATTGTCCGGCCAAGCAACCTCCCGGGGGTGTATGTTGAATTTGAAAGTTCATATCTCGATAGGAGATGGAGCGAAAGTCACGAGTTTGCTAGAAAGGTCTAGAAAGGTCTCAATGTCATCCACAGAAATATGTAATAAAAAGTTCAGGTTCCTATTTAAAAAATTTGAATATGATCTTCACAGAATGTTTCAGGGTCATTGCAAGATCAAATACTCAAGAGTATGTCACTCTCGATATGATGCAATTTTTGTCTGAGACATTTTTTTAGTATCATTCATATTTTTCAAGATATTTGAGCAGTTCGAGATAAACAGGAAGAACCGTTTGAGATAATGTAACCAATATAATGAAAATTACTCGTTGTATAATTGTATTAATAAAACACTTATACAATGCTATTTCTGATACTTCCCACGTTGGAATCCAACATATAGTATATTAAATTGGAGTTTATCGTAAAATTAAAACAAGCAAACAAAAAGATCATGAAACATTCATCTGTTTCTTGAACAGAACAATTTGTTCCACGACAAAATCGGGAAATTCTATCATTATTTCTCTTTTCTCTCGATTTATTTGATCGATCAGTTTGGTTAACTTTAAAAGTATATCAATTCAACCGGAAATCGTTGTCCCCATTGATACACAACACATTTCATGCACTAACCTCAAAGATTCTTCGTTTTCAAGGAACCGATCAATCAAATATAATAACATATACATGCATCCTTACGCAAAATAAATAATATCTTTTGCACATATCTTATTACAAGTGTACACCAACGTTCCGTCTCTCTTTTTTATCCATATCAAAGTTTATTGCTCCAGCTTATTCAAACTTCTCAACCAAGTGGAAGCTTCCTCCTTCCACAGATGCTTAAAAAAAAAGACAAATCTCTACGCGAATCTTTTGAAATTCTTTGCAACGCGAGAAATTCAACTCTACAAATAAATTTCTACGAAAGGAAGAAGCTCTTCGTTGAACGAGAAAGCTGAACAAGCGTGATACCTAACCTTATTTCTCAGACAATACATGTTAAAAATGAAGAGTCCGACGCGTGAAATGCTCTACGCATAGTCAGAGTTACGAACATAACACAAAAAAGGCAACGTAGAGAGCCAACAATGCTAACTTATGTTAGTTAGAATACATACGTACGAGATAAGCTTGCAGGTGAATTTCTGTGACTATATCACAGCAATAAGTGCGATTCAAACGATTTTGCTTTTGAGAATGAATAAATAAGGCTACTAAACAGGTACTCTCTTCATTTTGGATATGTGATCAGCGATGATTGCATACTTTAATGAAATCTATTATTATCTACTGCCGAGTATTCGTAATATTCATAGCTAAAAATTTTCTCCACCTTTCAATCGTATTCCAAAAATTTCGTCCGTTTGTCTGCTCTGTACTCACTAGTTCGTAGCTTTCTCCGACTTTTTCTTATTTCGTACTTCTTCATTTTTAACATGTATCGTCAGCAAGTAGTCAGTCGGTACGATCTTTAATACGGAACGTGTGAATACGGAAGTGACGGCACATCTGACGAACCTAAAAAACAATATTTATCGTGAACAGTGATGAATGAAAAACTTATATGTTAAATATAATGGAATGAATCTTACCACGCAAGTTCCGTAATGAATATGCGCTAATAAAACTATGATGGCAACAATATACGTAAATACCAAATCTGTGCTAGGCAAGATAAAGGAAAAGACAGCTGCAACTGCTACGGGTAGTAATACCCACGATAGTAGTTCACATGTAGTGTTGCTCATTTGTGAAACAATCAAACGGCACTGTAAATTTAAAATACCGTTAATTTTCAGTACTTAATTACTTCACATCAGTTGTTTGTTTGAATATCTTACACATATATTAGAAAAAATGGTTCCAATGGTTAAGAAAATTATTCTGGGATCTTGCTCTACAATATTGCTAGGTGAATGTACTACCCAAATTGTTGAGATAGCAAAGAGTACTGCTAAAGGTAGTAGAGGTCTAACAGCATCTAAGAATGTTCGCATTTTACCAGTCTTGTCGCTATACGATCTGAAAATTCAACGAAAATTGCTTTTTGTTAAGCAGAAACTAGTAATGGAGAGAACAAAGCAGTTCAATTTCATTGTACTGACTTGTATATGTTCCAGAGTACCACAGGTAAACTGAATACAATCGCGCTGACGTAGAGTAATATTTCAAACATCACTCCCATGGATATATCACCAGGTAGAACAAATTTCCAAGCACTGTGTCCACCTATACTCGTTATAATAAAGACAATAATAGTACCCTGAAAAATTGAAAACAATAATTATTACATAAATTATGACAAATTGTGGTTATCAATAATTCACTTGAAATGAGTAGATTACTTACTACCATAGATACATCATATCCCCAAGGAAGGAACAATACCCCTGTGTTATACTTTTCCCAATGGGTCAAATAGAAATTGATAAACACATTCCACAGAATGAAGTACATTCTCAGTGGAGATACACTATGATCTGTTCTGCCAAAAACAGAAAACATACATACACTTATGAGCATTGTTGTCCAACTATCTAATCCATGATCAAATAACTCTCCTAAAGGACCAGATGTTTGGGTACGACGCGCCTGTTTACCATCTATACCATCTGCAAAAAAAGAAGCACTGTATCAAATACAATGCTTTTGTGAACTAATAGGTAATATTAAAGTCCTATTACCAAGTGTGTATGCCATAAATACATTGAATGCACCCAAGGCAAAGACCCATCGTGGTATTGGAGGATACTGTGGTTTATCATCACTAGATGCATACAAATAATAATCATAAAAGGCAAACAATGTGAAATTCAAGACTGTGAAAAGAAATCCAGAGAAAGTTAATACATTTGGAGCAACCCACTTTGGACAGTACTGAAACAGAATTTCATATTTATCTAAAAGAAATGTAAAAGAAAAAATTTTAGAAGAATTTTAATAAGAAACATACCTGAACCACTTTGTTCCAAAATGGGTGCATAATATATACACTGAGAGGACTTGTGTCCACTGAGCTATACTGAAAACATAAATCCATGGTAAATTCATTGCCATGCATTATTCATTGAACTTCAAAATTTATCTTTATTTTTATTATATTATTCAATAAGAATTTTAAGGCTTTTTTACATGTACATTTATTAATATTTACATATCAAAATTAGTAGAAAAAATGATAGCAATAATAATTACTAGTTGAGTAACTTATTCATCAACAAGGATAACTTCATACTCAACTTGTGCAAAATTTCTTCAACAATACTTAAAATTTGCAAAAAAATACATCAAGATCAATCTGAAAGCATTCACATGCCAATTTAATGAATATTTTATAAAAATCTTTTCATAATTATTCATCCACTCAACATAAAATATAATCCAAGGATTTTCTAAGTGAAAGGAAATCAGAATTCAATCAGAAAACTCACTTTATAGTTCTCGAAGCCGGTAAGGTGTTGTTCGGTGAGGTACTCGACCTCGAAGCTCAACTTTTGATACATGGTGTGCGGAAAATGCGTCTAACCACTACGCTAGAGGAGGACGTGCTTCGATCCCGCTTCAAAATCGATCAACACCGTTTCACTTCATCGAGGACACGTTGTTCGTGGCACGAGTACGCGTCTAGGTTAGAAGTATGCACATGAAGTATTTCGTTTTACTTTCAGAAGCACGTGCTCCTTGTGGAGTGGTCCGGTCGAACGTCAATTCATGGTGATACCGAGCTATATAAACGACAGCACCATGAAACGGCTACGCGAGTGGAATTTTAAGGTTGGTTGTCACGTCAGCGGAACACGATATGGTCGATTCCGTAATGTAACCGCGAGGGGAATTAAAAAGGTGGAGAAACACAAATCACGCCTATGAAACGGCGTATTGATAGCACGTTTATTCTTAAATTCGCTCGCTTGTAGGTGTGTCCTTGAGAGATAATAAGATTTTGCTAGATAATAGCCAAAAGTAACGTGTTTATGTAGGTCAGAGTTGAACTGTGCCTGGATACGGATTGATGTATTGAATGAATTTTTATTGAGTGTAATTGTACGCGAAATTATCGAAATAATTGAATTACAATTGAACAGGTTACATAAACGTGGATGATCGGTTTCCCTTTTATGTAGTGAGTGAAACACTGAGATTGCTTGCAAAAAAATCATTCTCGTTCATTATTATAACAAAATCGCTTATCTGTGACATGTGGATTAATGAAGGTTAGAAAAGGATGTCGAATACATGGTATATATTTGCTCTTTTTCGCGTTTGATAAACGCAGAACTTCTATACTTTTACTACGTTGTTATTGTTGTGATGTATAATGGAATTCGCATTGAAGTCGCATTAATGAAATTACGTAGAAACTAACGCAACTTCACTATTACGTTAAATGTGTTTTTTTTTAACGCCGTGTGGGAATTCCGTATAGGTTGACAAACATGGCAGCAAAACAATTCGAAATGTATACGTTAAAAGAAATCGAAAATTTGTCAAATTTTTTACAAATTACATAATTGAAATGTATAAAAAAATTTTTTATATACGTTTGTAGTACTTCCTGAATGAAAGTGTAATACACTGAAAAATTTTAAATGTACAATTTGACTGCACATATTCGATAGAATCTTATATCACTAATAGAAATAGTAAATAATATTTATTACACTTAGTTTAACATGGTTTTATTATAAATACCTATATTACATGTTACATTCTGTGCAACAATTGTAGAATAATGTGCTAATATTAATATTGTAACATCTGAAAGATAATAACTGCAATAAATACAGAAATCAAAATTGGACATAATAAAAACTAAATTACTGGAACTTACACACTTCATTTCAGCAATTGATGACGAAGAATGAGGTAAGGTACAGACAATCCACTTCCAAAGAAAGCAATGAAAATTGCTGTTACCACGTATCTGTTTCCAATTGGGAGGGGAAGGTTCTGCAAAAGCGCATTTCAGTGTCTGATTTAGTTCAAACCATAATATATTAGTGTGTTGAAGTTTCCGAATGTCTTTTCACAGAAAAATGAAAAAAATGTGAACATTAAACGTTTCTAATATCAATTTGATCAATGAATCCAGATTTAATTTACCACCTCAGACATTTATTTTGACTTTAACAAAAACCCAGAGTTAAATATTGAAACAATACTTCAACGAGCATTACGCAATAAAAAATTATCTTTGACTCACAGCACCGGGAAAACCTTCTGGTCCATGACTTTTCCGCGAAGCGGTGGTCATGAAAGATCTTGTAAATCCTTGGAAAACAGTTTTTAAAGCCGACATTTCTTCAGTTCTTAGTTGCTTCGTCGGACGTTCCTCTCTAGTTGTTACGCAAAATGGCGCTGAATCGCTGCGATTCACTTACATAAATGTATACTTACTTATGTTCAATATAATTCACCCATATAATATCACAGATAGAGTGACGTCTCCGCCCCGCGATTCATATGAATCAGCCATGAGGTACATACTCTCCGATGTTCATGTGAATCCACCCTCCTTAATTATAATTTTACTTTATATTTAAATATAGCTCGTATCTATTGTAACATAGGATAAAAAACTTACTAATAAGAAATTTTAACGTAAAGCAAGCAAACATACTTTTTCATACTCCGTAGGCAAACTGTATAGTTTGTGTCTAAGCACAGACGAAGTATAGGATGGACCTTGCACCTACTGTATTTTTGTGTCCAACGTTTTAAAATACCGATCATGTAGAAAATTAGAGTTTTTGTTATGCCCTCTGCAATATAGAACGGTGAGTTTAGGAATTATATACAATTCAACCATCCAAGATGGTAAAACCGACAAATGTAAAAAATCCTTTTATTAAATTTGCATATAAAGATATATACAGGGTGTCCCGTAACTCCTCGAACACCCGGAAATGGGGGGTTCCTGAGGTGACTTTGAACAACTTCTTCCTTTACCAAAATGTTGTTTGAAGCTTCATTTTTAAATTATTAACGAAAACCACTGGCCAATCAGAGCGCGCGTAGAGCCCGCGCTCAGGGACGAGCGAATGGAGATTCACCCGCGCGCTATCGTGAACGACGCGGACGCGTGACTTCTCGGTTATTGATTTTTGTCAAAAAAATTTGACTTTGCACCGCTATTTTTATAAGGCATAGAGAAATGGGTTTTTGCCGTCATTCCGACATTTATATAAATTTTTGAAAAAACTGCAATTAGTCGGAATCGTGAAGAAAATAGCGAAGGTCGTTTTTAACGCGTACGCATTTGTTCTGTGTCCCTGAGCGCAAGCTCTACGCGCGCTCCGATTGGCCAGTGTTTTTCGTTAATAATTCAAAAATGAAGCTTCAAACAACATTTTGCTAAAGGAAAAAGTTGTTCAAAGTCACCCCAGCAACCGCCCATTTCCGGGTGTTCGAGGAGTTACGGGACACCCTGTATACCCAATACATTTAAATCCTAATAATTCTCTAAATATTTACACGTATTTGTTACATATGATGAATACTATAATGTAAAATTAGAAATAATTGTCAATAATAGGTGGCGTTCTTTTTGTGGAGTATTTTATGGGGTATTTTTATTTTCTACGGAGTATTTTTTATAACAATTTCATTTTATTCGTAAAAATTTTAGATTCACATTATCTATAATGAAAATGAGGATTAAAGGTACCATTAATTGCGTATTTCTCTAGTTATGCTCTATCCGTTGAACTGATGTAAAGGGGGGAGATCGTTTTCCCGCCTTTTTTAAGAATTTTTCAAATATTTGTGAAACAAAATAATCGATTTTATTACTATTCTTTTTAAATGTCCATCTCCCGTAAAATAGTTTAATGCTATGATTACTACATTATGAAATAAGAAAGGAATATTGAGTAATAGAATGAATTCAATGTAAGCAATGAAATAAATACATAAAATAATAATTTTAGTTCTTATTTATAATTTGAAAGTAATACAATGTTATTTGCCATTTATTCCTCTTTTATCAACAAATGTTTTCATAATGTAATGTTCTGACACGATATTAAAACTGTACAATGTTTTATGTAATAAAAAAACAGTAAAAGCAGCAAGTTATAAAAATGTTTTATGTATTTTTTAATAAATACTGAAACTATTTTTCGGTTGATAATTGATAATCAATTAATATCCGCAAATTTTTTAATTACCTGTGTTCTATTTGGAAAAAAAACAGTT